AAGTGTCTGTTCTCGGTCTTGCGACTCAATGAATCTGGTGATTGTACAGTTAATGAGTCTCTCAGGGTACTTAAGCTTGAGAAAGATCTCTTTCAGGTTGATTTAGTATCTCTCGAATCCTTCATTTACTCATATTTCCATTTGTCACCTAAGGGATCAATTTACATAATTGTGCTGGAAACGTTATTTGAGAGACTGTCGAAACCGAATAACATCTGAGGTTTTGAAAAATGTCTATAATGATTGTAAGGAGAACAAATATATGATTTGGAGAATATTTGGAAAATGAGGGAGGAGTGGACGCTAGAGCCCAAGCCACAAGCGCCTTTCTCACTCGCTGTAGGTTTCTTTTTCAGTCGTGTAGATATTTGATAGCTACAATTTAGCTTCGTCATGAGTACGAAGGAGAAAGTTCGCTTTCCTTCTGAGAATAAACAAGGAGCCTGTCCGGGAGTGTTCACTGGAGACCCAAGTAAATCAACCCTGGGTCTTGTTGTGGTGCAGGAATGGTGGGGAATGAACGATATCATTGTACAGGAGGCTGCAGACATTTCCGAGAGAGGCAACTTGGTAACTCTGGTACCTGATCTGTACCGCGGAAAGGTAGCAACAGATCATGAAACAGCGGGGCATTACATGTCTGATTTGGACTGGCCAGGGGCGGTGCAAGACATAGCTGGTGCGGCGAAATATTTGAAGGAAAAAGGTTGGTCCAATATTTGGGGTGGACTGGGAAGAGGGGTTACTCCCTTATCAACGGTGTATCCATGGCTTGGGCCTTTGGCATAATTAGCACTTATTGACTGCTCCCGAGGGGAACAGTGAATTTTGTTTCCCGAGAATCTCAATGTTTCCTGAGGTGAAGGCAAGGGAAACATTGAGATTCGAGGGAAACAAATTCACTGTTCCCCAAGGGATCAGTCATTAAGTGATTTGTTATATAGTAAAACAAATGGGTCAAACAGGTGGAAAACAAATAATCACTTTATTGGCAAATTTTGCGGGTAAGAGTGAACTGTTTCCCGTTTGATGTCATAGTTTTTGCAATGTTGCCCGCCCATGGCATTTGGTGGGAACAGTTTCATTGTTAGATGTCATGTGACCATGAACTAGCCAATGAATGGGCACACTGTAGCAACAAAAACGCCAGCTATATAACAATGGTAGATATCTATATTATGACTGTTATGAAAGGAGATTAATAGATAGAACTGTGCATGATACATAATCCCACAAAGGTTTTTCCTACATTGAAAACTGAGTCAGTTTAGTTTTTCATAGTCTAAAACAGGGCACAGATTTAAAGGGTTTTACAAAGTTTATGTACTTAAAAGGAAAAGGCATTTAATGGCCAATTTGAAAAGGCTTTTCACCAGTAGCATAGCAATATAAACCCAATCAAAAGTGTTTATTCAAACATGAGAGAAAAGCAACTGGTGCAAGTACAAGAGTTCAACTTACTTGTCAAAGCATCAAGGATCAAAACATTTTGGATTTGTGTTAATTATAGTATTTATACACACTCTTATCGTATCATATTGACTGCCAATTATAAAAGTTGGAACCTTATTTTAAGAGGGTTAAACTTCCTGCCTCACTTCCTAAATTTTCAACCAAATATCAGAGTTGTCTAAACTAACCAGTCATCGTCAGTTCCACTTCTCCATATGGAGAGTGGGGTCAGAAATTTTACTTATCCAAGACACTCTGTCAGTCACCACCAGCCCTGCCTCTACCCAAGAACAACAACCCATCACGATTTGCTCTTAAATCTCTGCTATCCTATGCCATGTTTCTCTGGGTCTTCCTCTCTTGTATTTTCCTTCCAGTACCCACGTAAGTGCAACTCATGGGAGGGAACTGTTATCTATTCACAGCATGTGTCCAATCCATGTCCACCTCCTTCTCCTTACTTTTCCACTGATAGTTTCCATTTTAACTCTCTTGTGCACCTCTTCATTTGACTCTCACATAGGCCAACAGAGCCAGTGAAAATTTGCCAGTAACTATTTACCCACCTAGGTGGAGAGAAGTTCTGTGAGACTAGTGCCTAATACTTAAGAGCACAACTTGCCATCTTCAGCCAGGGCTCTACCTGTATGGCTAAATTTCAAGTCCAGCAAAATAACCCTAAAGCCACCATGCCTCCCACAAATAATATAATAAATGTTGTTGTTTTTAAAATTGTAGTTAAGACACTGGACTCTAGATGAAGAAGTCCTGTTTTCATCTTTAGAGATCCTTCTTTCATCATTTCTGAACATGATTTCCATGTGTTCTTGACTTGTATAGTGCACTACATGACTTCTTTAAATATACCAGCTTTTATCCTTACTTTTTATAAGGTACTAGTGGTGTTATTATAAGAGTATGACGCCCTATTGGGGCTGGCATTTGTCTTGCTTTTCAGTTAGATATTTCTGTGTGAAGAGTTTTGGTTTTACTTACTGCTACATAACTTCAATTTTGTGTAAGGCTAGCATAAACATAAATTTAAAATGTTTTGGTGACACCAACCACATGTACCATTTTAAACAGCTATAATTCTTTATTTACGTACTAGAAAATAAAAAAAATCTACTGGTGTCTGTTTTGCACATTTGGACCTGTGAGGAAGCCCCCCTTCCACCATCTTAAGTTACAAACCCCTTTACTTTCTGCAAAAAAATTCAAATCCCTTTTCTTTTTCACACACAAAGATTGTATAATCTTAGAATTAAATTGTAACAGCCCAATCCCTAGTCTCCTTTGCATCTGTCGTCAGGGTCGTCAGGCAATGCTTCTTGCCACTAGTAGGGAGAAGCATTGTGTGACGACCTTAACAACAGCTGCAAAGGGGACTACCCAATACTTCCCTTTTTGTGTTTATGGAACATTAAAAGTAACGTGTTGTCAGATAGCACTTTTCATGTCCATGTTTCTTGGTTTCCATTTAGGTTGCAAGAAGGTGGGCGTGACNAGTTTCCATTTTAACTCTCTTGTGCACCTCTTCATTTGACTCTCACATAGGCCAACAGAGCCAGTGAAAACTTGCCAGTACCTATTTATCCACCTAGGTGGAGAGAAGTTCTGTGAGAATAGTGTCTAATACTTAAGAGCACAATTTGCATCTCCAGCCAGGGCTCTATGTGTATGGCTAAATTTTAAGTCCAGCAAAATAACCCGAAAGCCACCATGCCTCCCACAAATAATTTAATAAATGTTGTTGTTTGTAAAATTGTAGTTAAGACACTGGACTCTAGATGAAGAAGTCCTGTTTTCATCTTTAGAGATCCTTCTTTCATCATTTCTGAACATAATTTCCATGTGTTCTTGACTTGTATAGTGCACTACATGACTTCTATAAATATGCCAGCTTTTATCCTTACTTTTTATAAGGTACTAGTGGTGTTATTATAAGAGTATGATGCCATACTGGGACTGGCATTTGTCTTGCTTTTCAGTTAGCTATTTCTGTGTGAAGAGTTTTGGTTTTACTTACTGCTACATAACTTCAATTTTGTGTAAGGCTAGCTTAAACATGAATTTAAAATGTTTTGTTGACACCAACCACATGTACCATTTTAAACAGCTATAATTCTTTATTTACTTACTAGAAAATAAAAAAAACTACTGGTGTCTGTTTTGCACATTTGAACCTGTGAGGAAGCCCCCCTTCCTGGCCACCATCTTAAGTTACAAACCCCTTCTTTACTTTCTGCAAAAAAATTCAAATCCCTTTTCTCTTCAACACACAAAGTTTGTATAATCTTAGAATTAAATTGTAACAGCCCAATCCTTAGTCTCCTTTGCATCTGTTGTCAGGGTCGTCAGGRAATGCTTCTTGCCACTAGTGGGGAGAAGCATTGTGTGACGACCCTAACAACAGCTGCAAAGGAGACTACCCAATACTTCCCTTTTTGTGTTTATGGAACATTAAAAGTAACGTGTTGTCAGATAGCACTTTTCATGTCCATGTTTCTTGGTTTCCATTTAGGTTGCAAGAAGGTGGGCGTGACTGGCTTCTGTATGGGTGGAGCCTTGGCTCTGGCTTCTGCCGCCCTCATCCCTGAAGAGATTTCAGCTGCTGCTCCATTCTATGGCATCCCCAGTGCAGAGCTGTGTGATGTGGGAAAGATCAAAATACCTTTACAAGGTCATTTTGGGAGTAAGGATACCCTTGCTGGGTTCTCCTCACCTAAAGATGTTGAATCTTTAAAGCAGAAGCTTGATGCTGGTGGAGTGAATTATGAAGTGTTCATGTATGATACGGGCCACGCTTTTACCAACCCCACCAATCCAAATTACACCAAGGAAATCTGTGATTTGGCTCTAGGAAGGATGATAGATTTCATGAAGAAACACTTAGCTTAAGCCTTAGGTTCTACTAACTCTGTGAACGTCTAGTAACTAAATTTGTCCAATTATTATGATCTTTAATGTATCACTAGCATGTTTTTACACCTTCTTTTAGAGAAAAGGAAGGTGTCAATAAATGGCATTATGCGGCAGGGCTGGCTTCAAGAAATAAATTTGCCGTAATTGTAATTGTCACTAAATGATTTGTCACAAAACTACAGACTGTGGAGGGGTATATTGCGTTACTTTTTAGGATTTTACAAATCATTAAGCTTCTTTTTCTTTTCTCAATTGCATTACAAGTTCTCGGTTTTATTTTGTGTGCCAACCATGGCCATGTGCCAACACTGAAGGGGAAATTCCTCAATTGCAAGTCTCTATAATTTTGTCCGTCTTTGTTATTGTATTCTCGAACGCTGACCTATCAAACTGCAAGAAAACAGCTAACGCTCTTTACACCTCAAATAACTTACTTTTTTAACTTCGTATGGTAAATATTTTTATAATTAATTTGATGATCGTTCATGCCTTCGCATAACTAATTGTGTTCCCATGATAACCAGACACGTCAATGACCTAATTTGGTGTTATTAAGAATTTGGCGGTATATAAAGGCTCCCTAGCCTTCGTTCAGCCCCTTGTGACCGCCAAACCATCACCAACTTACAGTTTCGAATGACTGATAGACTACGACAGATTTACAGAGCTGTTTTGATTCAGATTTCTCGCGATCTGGACAAAGAACAGTGTAAAGAACTTCAATTTCTCTGTACTGAGCTAGTTCCAAGACGAAATGAAGGAGTTCTGAGCCTTTTCCGTTCCTTAGAGGAAGCTGCGAAGATGTCTTGGGTCGACGTTACCTTCCTGGAGGAATGTATGCACGATATTGGGAGAGAAGATCTAGTTGTTAGACTGACTACTTTTCAAAGAAAAAGAGACCTTTCCATTCTTCTCAATTTCTATGTAAAGAAGAGAAATGGATTGCATCCCTTTGACCAGTCATCGGCGTCGAACGCGGCCGAGTATCTCGTTCAACTCATGGAGGGTTTTCAAGGCAGACTAGATGTTAGAGGAATGCTCAGAAGCTCGGGCAAGAATCCGAAAGATCTCTGGCTACATTTTGTAAAGGAATGTAGTCCTCCGCAAAGCATGACGTGGGGTAAACTTTCTATGCTAGTCGCAATTGCCGGGGAAATAATTGCCGTATCTTCATCCTTCTCCGAAAAAATACCAGGAGAACAGGATGAAGCCATGAAGATGTGCATAGCATTGGCAGATGAACTTTGCCATCCCATGCTTCAGCTTGGAACCTGGGTATGTTTGACTCTTTACAACTAGCATCTACTCGTACACCGGTTGTTTTTGCCTGAAATGAGCACAGCCACATTGTACGTATTCTTTGGTTAACGGCAATTATCGCATATAATTAGGCAGCTGCCAAGTTTCCGAAAGTGAAAGTGAAAAGACAAAGCGGATGCTGCATTGAATTTCTTATTACTTTTCTAAACATCAAGATTTTCGCTAAGTTTTCGATGTCAATGTCCCTCTCAAGTTTTAATCTCCAGCAAATTAAAGTGTTATGCTAGTACGGCAAGTCTCGTGAGCGACAGGCAGATTTTACACACGTGTTTTTCACAAAATTCGACAGGGCCTTCAGATATGAATATTCGCAACAGGGAGATCCTTTCATGATCTCTAGGAATTTATTCAGCATTTAACTCCATTAGCCAATTTTAAGCATTTGTTCTCAGCGATCCAATTACTTTGACTTCTTCAATCCTTTATACGTTGAACGACGATAGCAGAAGGACATGACATTAATGGTAATCGCAGTATCATTCACGTTTTTGTATTTTTCGTATGCACAAAAAAACACCTCCATAGATCAATTTATCACCCCAAATTGAGTAAATATTTGAAGCTTCAAAAGAATATGTTCCAAATACTTGGGAATGTGGAACTCCAAACTTGCCAGCTTTTACAAAGAAAATGTATGGCAGGGGACAAGCGGTTGCACGCTTGCATACATTGCTTTGTAAAAATTGCCAAGTTTGGAATCCCATATTTCTTTGCGTTTGCAACAGATTCTTTTGAAAGTTCACATATTTACGAAATTCAACGCAATAAATCAAGCGGTGAGGCTTATTTTTTGTTTGAATAAAAATATATCAGAAAAGCATGACATTGTCGAAGTGGTCCATTTAGGTGGTCAGTTTTCTGTTATTGTTGTGTTGACATCTGTCTATTCCTGTTAAGGTTAGACTCCTCATTCTCATTATCAAGCAGGTTAGGGGGCCTTACTACCAATATATCTCATTTTTAACTAGTTTAGCTGCTGTGAAGGCTAGTGTAGTAACTGCCTTTTCTTTATAACTTCCTGTTCAACTGTTTATTTATTAATTTTTGTAAACTAGTTATTACCCATTGACTTTAGTTAGGTGTCACCAATTAGCTAATCTATAGCTAAATACACTGACACATTAATAAAGTTTTCATTCAATGATTCATTGGCATTAACAAACGATAAAGAAAATGTCATTTTGATACTGCTACTGTTACTGTTCCCGCCGCAGCTATTGCTACTTTCACTGCAACTGAACTGCAATGCTACTACCACTGAACTGCCATGCTACTGCCGCTCCCCTGCCACTAAACTGCCATGTTACTGCCACTCCACTGCCACTGAACTGCCATGCTGCTGCCAATCTACTGCCACTAAACTGCCATGCTACTGCCACTTCACTGCCACTGCACTGCCATGCTGCTGCCAATCTACTGCCACTAAACTGCCATGCTACTGCCACTCCACTGCCACTGAACTGCCATGCCACTACCAATCCCCTGCCACTGAACTGCCATGCTTCTGCCAGTTCACTGCCACTGAACTGCCATGCTACCAATCCACTGCCACTGAACTGCCATACTACTGCCACACACTGCCACTGAACTGCCATACAACTGCCACTGAACTGCCATGCTTCTGCCACTCCACTGCCACTGAACTGCCATGCTACTGCCAGTTCACTGCCACGGAACTGCCATGCTACCAATCCACTGCCACTGAACTGCCATGCTACTGCCAGTTCACTGCCACTGAACTGCCATACTACTGCCACTCCACTGCCACTGAACTGCCGTGCTACTGCCAATTCACTGCCACTAAACTGCCATGCTGCTGCCACTCCACTGCCCTTGAACTGCCATGCTGCTGCCAATCCACTGCTACTGAATTGCCATGCTTCTGCCACTCCACTGCCACTGAACTGCCATGCTACTGCCAATCCACTGCCACTGAACTGCCATGCTACTGCCAATCCACTGCCTCTGAACTGCCATGCTACTGCCAATCCACCGCCACTGAACTGCCATGGTACTGCCACTTCACTGCCTCTGAACTGCCATGCTTCTGCCACTTCACTGCCTCTGAACTGCCATGCTACTGCCAATCCACTGCCACTGAACTGCCATGCTACTGCCACTTCACTGCCTCTGAACTGCCATGCTACTACCACTCCACTACCTCTGAACTGCTATGCCACTGCCACTTCACTCCCTCTAAAGTGCAATACTACTGCCACTTCACTCCCTCTGAACTGCCATACTACTGCCACTTCACTGCCTCTGAACTGCCATACTATTGCCACTCCAATGGCATTGAACTGCTATGCTACTGTCTCTCAACTGATTGAACAGCCAAGCTACTACCAATCCACTGCCATTGAACTGCCATGCCAGTACCACTCTAATGCCACTGAACTGCCATGCTACTGATACTCCACTGCCTCTAAACTGCCATGCTACTGCCCTCTAATGCCATTGAACTGCCATGCCACTGGCACTCCATGCCGCTGAACTGCCATGCCAGTGAGTTACCTTGTTACTGCCACTGAACTGCCATGTTACTGCTCCGCTAATGCCATTGAACTGCCATGCCACCGCTGCTCCCCTGCCTCTGAACTGCCATGCTACTGCCACTCCACTGCCTCTGAACTGCCATGCCACTACCACTCTAATGCCATTGAACTGCCATGCCACTGAGCTACCTTGTTACTGCCACTAAACTGCCATGCTACTGCTCTGCTAATGCCATTGAACTGCCATGCCACTGTTGCTCCACTGCCTCTCAACTGCCATGCTTCTGCCACTCTAATGCCATTGAACTGCCATGCCGTTGCCACTCCATGGCATTAAACTGCCATGCATGCTACTGCCACTCCATGAAATTGAACTGCCATGCTACCACTGCTCTACTGCCTCTGAACTGCCATCCTACTGCCTCTCTACTTTCTTTGAACTGTGATGCCACTGCTTCTCCACTGCCTCTGAACTGCCATGCTACTGCTACTCCATGGCTACTGAACTGCCATGTTACTGCCACTCCACTGCCATTGAACTACCATGCTACTACCACTCCACTGCCATGCTTCTGCCACTCTACCTCCACTGAACTGCCACGCTACTGCCACACCACTGCCATGCTACTTCCAATCTACGTCCCTGAACTGCCATGCTACTGCTTCTCCAATGCCTCTAAACTGCCATGCCACAGAAACTCTACTTCCACTGAACTGCCATGCTATGGCCACTGCACTACCATTAAACTGCCATACTACTGCCGCTCTACTTCCACTGAATGGCCATGTTACTACCACTCCACTGCTACTGAACTGCCATGCTGCTGCTAATTCCCACTTCCACTGGACTGCCATGTTACTGCCACTCTACTGCCACTGAACTGCCATATTACTGCCACTCCACTGCCTCTGAACCCCGGGGGGGNCATATGGAATGGACGGGGATGCTTGTCGTCTCGCTTGGGGGTGTAAATTTCGGATTTTGGTCTTGCTTAGGGTGTTCCAGGCAAAATGTCATTATTTTTAGCCGTCAAGGTCTCGTTAAGGATGCACGCGAAGAAATAACAAAACAGAAAGAATTTTGATTCTTTATATTTACTCAATTCATATAAATCATTAAAAGTCACTGTACTTTTTATTTGTCTGTTTTATAAACTGGTCTCTTTTAGGGGTCTGCATAAG